GTTAGAACTAAGTCTAAGAGAGAGTTGCTCTATATATTATTAAAGACGAGACGTTATACTATATATTGCCTTAGTAAAATATTCAATATTTATTGCTTTATTAAATTTTAAAAACTGTGATCAGAACTTTTGGTATACCCTAAGTATTTGTTGATGGTACTCATCTTCATCGAGAAATTCTTATGCATATGTCACAACTTCATGCATTCATTTTTTATATAAGTACTGAAATTGAAATCAATGATTCAATTGATCGTTTATCTGATAATGATATTCAACAAACGTTTACAAATATAGGTTATTATCGAATAGCTTGTGCTGTAAATTATTACCGTAAATCCAAAGCAATATGTCATATTTTCTCACTTCCGTTCATATTTGATCGTCTTATCAAGATCTGCAGTCATTTTCCAGCTGTGATATATGAACATGTTACGGAACTGACAATACTTGATGACATTCTATTTAATTATGAATTTATCGTGCGTATTAGGAAGGCTTTCCCATCGCTGGATGATTTGACCATTATCATTCTTCAACCTCCATCAGATGAGTTTGGTCAAGATGAACTTAGAGAAAATCAATCAAGTGCAATTATGAAATACCTTCATCTTAGTGGACTTACCACTTTGTATAGAAGTGATGACTATTTGCGAGAGAACTTTACCAGAGATACAACATGACACGACTATCTTAATATAAAACTAATAAGTTTTCAAAAGATTATTAATTATTCAAATGAATTATCTCTGTATTTTTTTTCTGATTATTTGAAAAATAAAAACTCTCATATTGCGTTGTATCTAACTAAATAGTTATGTATGTAAAGAGAAAACGCATATTTTTCATTCATTGAAAATGAAAAAATATTGATCGATATGAATTAAACTACTAAGTTCTTTAGATGACAATAAGTCATTCTAACCCAACATTAATGCGAATTGAATAATGATATTCTTATGGTTTATATAAGATGTTCACTTATATGGGTGATCTCTATTGAACGATCACCTATAGTTTATCGTTGACTTTCTATTATTGACTCTATATTATGTATATTACGTTACTACACAGGATGCCGAGGTAGTCTCATTCGCTATCCATCACTTTTATTTGTACGCTAGCACAAAAGATCATGATAATCCTGCTATATAGTCTCGGTGTAAACTTTTTCTTCATTTATATTCAGACCAGGAATATTTCTCTACGTATAAGCTTATATCTGTTTGCACAAAACATGATGAAAATGCTAGATACGTCTGAACTCCTATATTATCATCACTGGTGTGCTTGTATCCAAATTGATATTCCATGCGTCATCCTTCATATGGTAGCGACTGTTAGGATTCATTTCCATCATTCACCCTCCATGGTATCACCTGATCTTTCGGTACAGATTCTGTCTTGAAATATCAATAACTGATGCGCGAAAAAACTACCGAAACTGCTTTATGAAATTCTCTCAGGATACTATTAAGATCTAGTATATTCTCTATTCATTGCTTTATGGAAACTCCAAACCGAACTCTTACCATTAAACCATAGATGAGACACATCTGTCTTCAAAAACACTATTTCGATGCTTTGATCTTCTCAATTTTCACATATTCGGCAGAAGCGATGATTTTCAGAAATTTACTTTAATCGATTGTACTTTCACAATCAATCCAATAGGTCAAAGGATTGAAATCAGATCAAAATTGTATCATTTTCATCATTTTCCAATGAGACAATGATCGATTTTAATCTGATTCTTCCTTAGAACTTCTTATATGGGAACTAGAAGTGAACATAGGACAAGATCTTCTGTTCTGTCATGTGTTCATCTCTGATGGCAAAATATATATATGACTAATTCGCATTTTTAGGTTTCACTTCCTTTGTTAAAAGATGACGCTATGAAATAGTTGCCAAGTCAATATATCGTCAATAAGAATACATTTTCGTCTTTTTGAAAAGATTTTAATGAGTTTTTAGTTATGATCTATAAAAGGTAATTCTGATTCTAATCGACAAAATTTCTCCGAAATATTCTAATCGATGATTTGTATAATACCATATTCATTAATTCAATGGATGAGATATAACATTTAAGGCTTCAAACAGACTGATTAACTCAAAGTGAATTAAGAAACACGATTGGCCCTTGTGCATAGCAACGTGAATTGTATAGGTTACTTCAGTTTTATGTTGTTCAGTCTGTTTAGGGCCTAACTATTCATTTCATTTCAGAAAATTCGATTAGTCTATTTCTATAGATGATGTGGACTGACGACAAAGATTCCGATGAAGATCAACAACAGAATACATATCGAAACAATGATCAAATAACACAAGGATATTCAGATAAAGAAAAAAAAAGACAAGGGTGGGTGTGGGTGTGGGTGGAAGTGGGGTGTGCGTAGGTGTGGGTGTACGTGAAAAACTAATACAACCCACACCCACACCCATCCACGCCCACACACACACCCGATGAGCTGGGAGCCACTCGATAAATGCTTATATTTTGTTTTGAATGATATATTACGATCACCTGAAAGACAACAAAAGCTTAGACCGTGGTATTTGTTTATGAGACTCTTTCTTAGTGCGCTTTTTCGTCTTCCGCCGCTTCCAAAAATAGCATACAGAGGTGTTAAATTAAACTTGAACAAACGTTACGTCGAAGGAAAAACAATCGTCTGGTGGGGTTTCTCATCTTGTACAACGGCTGTTAGTATTCTAAAATCGGAAGAATTTTTGGGAACGACAGGTGACACAACAATGTTTACCTTACAATGCCAATCAGCTAGAGATATTCGCAAACATTCTTATTTTCCAGCTAAAGACGAAGTGCTTCTAATTGCTGATGCTCAATTCAAAGTAATGGGTTGTCTTGATCAAGGAAATCTTCACATTGTCCAATTGGAAGAAACTTGTCCACCATTTCCACTTTTACAACCGGTACCAGTTTTTATTTCACAACCCACCAATCCAACTCCCTCAGGTAAGCTAAAATAAAAACAAACAAAATTCCATTTGATAAGCAACACCCCTACTTTCGATACTACGAAGAAAATCAAGAATTATATCCTTCAATAAATGTACGTATCATAACATGAACATAAAGATTCGATTTCCTACACATCTGAAAAAATGTCCATAAAACAAAGCTAAAATTGAGTTGTTTTAAATGATGAGAAAACTAGATTTTTCATGATAATTTTCGATGAAATCCAGTAGAATTGTTAGTTTCAAAGAATAATTTTCATAAAAAGTCGATTTTTTCCAAGTAATCGATTAAAAATCTCATCAGCTTCAATTACTTTTCTGACTCATATATTAAACTTTGTTGTCTTTCGTAAAATCCAAACACTTGATTTACGTTAATTTTTTTCTAAAGCGCTGAAAGTCTCTTGAATTATATTCGTCTGTTAAAATTGATTAAGTCTCCCTTCTTCCTTCACAACAGGATCTTCATGCTATGATATGTTATTGGGCTAAAAACTTGTGCACATAATGGAGATGCTCAGTTACACATGCAAAAATATATCAGTTTCGTATCTCGTTATTTGTTGTAGTTAATACACTTTAGGTCTATTACATGTCACCGATTGTTATGAGGTCTTCTCGGGTCTCCTACTGTATTCAGCCACCACAACTAAAAAAAGTTATTCTTTTTCCATTATACAGAATGACTTGTCCACGTAACGCTGTGACGGAATTGCGTGAACAAACCGAGAAGACACTTGAAACTAGTGACTCTTGTGACTTTTTTTTCAGATTCTTTTCCCTCTTTAGTTTTGACATATATGTAAAATCAAAAAAGGATGTAAATGCGTTTGAAATGAATATTAACACTTGTACACTCACATTCCATAGTGTATCTCTCATTTTTTTCATAAGCAGTTTTTCACATTGGTTTTCTCGTATGAAACATATTAATCAATCAACACAATACAGTTTTTCTACTATCATAAGATAAAACAATACATAAATATTACATAAGAGCCATTCCGAATAAGCCATAAGCAATCATAATCAATCGCTTGTTGCAAACTTTGCTAGTTTTGACATATCTCATATACAAGTTTTTCATGACTTTATCGGCAAGTCGCTCGAAAAAAAGTCGTCCCGTTCTCGAGCTATTTAGATTTTCTTAAGTCATGAACGACCGAAAATCAAATTATTGAGATATTTTTTCTTGTGACATTTCTCTTTCAGCAATAAACAATTTATTTAGCTACAGGTTTTTACCGTGGAAAGATCTCAAGTTCAAGAACTTTTCATAAAGAATAAAGTCGAACGAATTAACGATTGATGAGCTGACCAATACCGCCAAGTATAAGATAAATTATCATTTTTCGGTAATTTGAGCATAGTATATCTCATGAGTGGATCATGAGAAAGAGATGAAATTATGAACAAAGAAAGATCTCATTGAGTACTTACTCTGACAAATAATTTAGCTCTCTAGATTATTTCTATCGTTCCGAAGATCATTCATTAAAGTCGCCATTTTGGGAGGGTTCGATCTAGAGCCAAATGAAGTATGAAGAAGTTGCTGTTATATTAATTTAAGTTGCTTAGTAAATAATAGGAATGTCATTTATATTAGTAGATGAATCAATCTTATGGAAGTGAATTATTTTCATAGTAAGACGGATAAAGTCATTTCACAAATATCGAGCTGACGACTTTGAAATAAGGCTTGAACATAGGGTAATTTTTTGGTTTTTGACAGAAAGTAGAAAAAACGTAAGAACACCATTTTTTTCAACAATGATTAGTTTTATAAGAAATACTAATCAAGTTTTCTATCCTTAAATAATTTTCGTATAAACACTATTATCGCTTTGAATCAATGAAAAAAAAATGTCGTATTATTTCTTTATTAATAATCGTTGAAATGTATTGATCAAAAAGAGTTTCTTTGTTTTAGTGGTATCAAAACAACACACGAGTTCAGTAAAAATGATAGACTCAACAGAATCGAACATATCTTCGAAAAAAGTTAATACAAGTTCTTCAAACAAGAAATCAATATCTTATTATTAGGAAAAACAGGTGTGGGTAAGTCGATGTTGATTAATGCATTAGCTAATTATTTGGTCAATGATACACTTGAGCAAACAATCAATGATAGCATGCAAGTCCTTACTCCATTTTGTTTTTCTTATTGTACTGATGACACATTTGAGGAGAGAATAATTGCTATGGGCAAATCAGATGAATATGAGAATGTTAATGATATTGGTCAAACTTGGACTGAAAAATGTCGCAGTTTTGTCTTTTCAATTGGTGATCAGCTTCTAAGATTGATTGACACCCCACCTCTAGGTGATACTCGAGGTTTCGCACAAGATATTGAAAATTTTCGTGAGATTTTAACCTATCTATTCCAGTATGAATATTTGAATGGAATATGTATTCTTTTAAAACTAAATCGAGAAAGACTAGACATTTATTTTCAATATAGTGTCAAAGAACTTCTTCGGCATTTACCTAGAAGTGCAAAGGAAAATATAATATTTGTTTACACAAATGCTAGGTCAGTATTTTTTAGCCGAGGTGCTACAGATAAGCCACTCAGTCGCATTTTTGACCAGCTAGGGGTGGAACATGCTGTTCAAATACCTTTCACAGAAGAAAATACATTTTTATTAGATAATGAAGCATTCCGTTGTTTGGCATTATACAAAAATGGCATTCGGTTAAGTCAAGAAGAACAACAAAAGCAAATTAAAAGTTGGAATCATTCCGTTCAAGAATGTGCTCGCCTTCTTGCTTACATCACTACTCGTCCATCTTACATCGTTCGTAATATGATTTCTCTTTACGAAGTTCAACAAATCCTTCGAATACTCACGACACAAGCACGTAAGCTATTGTCTTTGAGTCAAATTTATACACACATAACCAATACACAAGATGAGCAAACGAAAGTTCAAAACGTCTATAGAAAACTTTGTAAATTTCTTCAAGTCAATGCTATTCTTCCATTGGATGAGGATCTTCTCAAATATATTCAAGACGTGATTCGTAAAAAAGAAAGCAAAAAGAATTCCGGCGCTCAAAACGATGATACCATTCATCATTTGGAAAAACTGAAATCAAATTATGCAAATGAAATAGAACTTAAAAGAACAATGGAAGATGAGAAAAGATCCTCAAATAAAACTGATTTAATACAACCCAAAGACATCTTTCCTATAGTTACTACTCTATATAACTTACCGTTCAGTGGTCCAGAAATTCGCAAACAAATTGAAGAATTGAAAATTAATCAAAAAATGACAGAAAAACAAGAAATCTTTGTTGAATTACTAAAAAAAGTTGCATCGTCCAAACTCATGCTTCAACTCAAGAAGATACTGTCTGAAGCACACAAACATGCGTAAAAACGTCTAATTGAACAATCAGTTTGTTTTTTATTTTACTATATGATTTAAGTATCATATGAAGAATTAAAAAGTTAATTCAGAACTTCTATTCTTTTAATTTCACTGCTATTCAGTTTTAATGTATAAAACAAAAATAAAGTTTCAAGGCAAATGTTTTGTCTATTTTCAATCTTCTTGAAAGTAATTCGGAAATAAAAAAAGTATGAGTTTTGATTGAAATCACACCCACACCCGCAGTATAAATTCAGAACAGATGTATTTTTCTGATTAAAAACAAATGTGAAAATTGTATTTTATAGTTTTTCTTTTATTCCAATCTGAAACTCAAAAACACGAATAACCTCATTCGAACAAAAGTTAGCATGGGATTCAATGTTACATACATTCTAGTGAACGGCCAAGAAGTTCATTGATACTATGACATCTTTGTTTGTTCTTCATCAAGTATTCTGGCTTAATTTCATTTTATTTCTATACTCATTCGTTTTCAAATAATGACATGTTACCACGATATGTTTACGAACAGGATGAGCTTCTGTTTATGCTTAAGTAATAATACCGATATTTTTAGACTGTATTTTATTAATTAATTCATTGTTTTGAAGGTAACAACAGCAGCTAGATAAAATTATCAAGGGCTGATCTGATCAATGGGAATATTTTTATGAAATGAATGTTCTGCAAATCTTTCATCAATGATGAAGAAGAAGCTTTTGCTTTAATATTGACTGACAAAAACTATTTTGGACATGTTTCCATTCTTCTAAATAATATCGATCGAATAAGACGAATTTGATAATATTTTGGTTAAAGTAATTCTCATTTATTGGTCGCCGGTATTCATTTTATGTTTCTAATCGATCAATAACTTGTCTAGATCAGTACTAATTCCAACATTCTTGTTTTTTTCTTCAATTTCGACTAAAACATTCAACATATCCAAGAATTTCCATCATTAATTGGATCTAGTGCATTAGAACGACGAAATGTTTTTCATTTAATACAAACTTTCTTAATAGCTTCTTGTTCTACTTTTGGATCTTATATAAGTTTTTCAACTGTATCGATTGAAGATTGTGTGTTCTCGTGATTATTTGTGCTAATATTAGACATAAATTTGCGAAATTCATATATAATATGCATGTACAATTTTCAACTATAACCACATTCCTCACAACACCTAAGATGTTGAATATAATAATAAAAACCGGAGCACATTACTTTGCTCTAACGTGAGAATCCTCCAAATAGATTAAAAATTTTCAACCTCATATTTTCCCTAAATTCAGAGCTCGATGACAATAGAAACAATCGAAAAGTATTTGTCTGCATAAGTCTGCTTGATTCTGAGATACGAACAATTTATATTAAGAACGATTAGTATCTATATGTCACTTGTTGTCATTGAACGGCATAATTGGGTCTTTTCAAAAAGTAAACTATTTTGTTGAAATGCTCAAATATTACAATGTGTTTATCAGCTCTTATTGCTTAAAAAGATAAGGCTCACGCCTGCATACCAATAATATCTTTTGATATTATACGAAGTATATATATTGCATTTTCTTTTAATTGTCTTATAGCAACTATAGTTTCAGAAGCAGGCACACATTCTAATTGTATTTATACTTGTCGATTAAAATGTTTATCTTCATTGATACTATTTGAAATTTTTGCATTACATAAACAAGGACGCTCATATGATAATTGAACCATAATAACATGTTCTAATTCCAGTGGTTCATTAAAACCTAATTCATTTTCAGCTAATTTTCCAAAATAATAATTTATTTGATTAAGTAAACCAGTATATATTTATGTTGTATTTGTTGGACAAATTATTGTAACTTTTGTCCAAATCGATTTACTTTCTTCATGTTTTTCAATAATAAATGATAATAAATCACCTCCATCATCATCTGAACATGTATGCAATATATCAAAAGGTGATGTTGCTGGAGCACATTCATTTGTTGCTTGTGAACAATATAAACTAGTGTCATGATGGATTGCTCAACATAAAAGAAATGTACCACTAGAATAAGAATATTCTGCGGCGTTATTGAGTGCATGATCGCAATATTCCTTTATGCCCAATAAAGCACTTGCTGTAATGGTCATTAGAATGATAAAACTTTCCTTTAATACGATGGATCGGAAGAAACATCGGTTTATAGACTAAAGATGATATTCTGATTTGTTGTGCAATGCAAAGACTGCGTGGGTGGATGCTGGTGTGTGGCAAAGCTGTCAGCCTGGCCTGTGTATGATCTTATATTATATTCTCTACTATAATTTGAACTATAAGACGACTTCACAAGTTTATAACTTTATCCACTAACTGTCATTATCGATTATTGATGGACAGCCTATTAAAATTTCAGGACTTACATTGATCCATAGAAGAACTTGCCCAGATCCAGAACAGTTAGATTGGCGCTGTTTAAAAACTGGATAATCATATTTAAATGTCTTTTATTTCCTGCATTTTTCTTGTATATTTTATTTTGCCTCTTCACTGTATGCCTAACCGTATATTTTTTTTTCTATCACATTTACATGTTTTTCGATTATGTGAAACAATACTAATATATTCCAAGAAACTGGATAAACCTAGTGTTTATTGTATGGATAATCTTTATAATGATTTATCTCTTTGTTTTAATTTGCTACCTGGTCCAAGAACTCGTCATTATAATATTTTCAAGGAAGTAAATAAGTATATGAATGACAATAGAATGATACGTTACAACAAGGTCATGGAACTGAGCGGATTTCAAAGGAAAAGCAGTCACATCAGTCGGCTGGATTTTCTTGCAAGCCATTTCTTAACATTTAGTCTGTATGTGATATTATAGCCAAATACGCCAAGTGGGTCCGCCAGCGTCCAAACCTTTGTTGGTTGCAAGATACGTGGTTGGTCGAATTCTCAACTGGAGCCATTGAAGGACATTACCAATAGGTGGATTCGTCAGTTTCCAATCGATAGCAAGACTCTTCAGTTTTGGCAAGCAGTCTATCAATGTTTCAAAAGAAATCGTCAATGGTGGTCCTATTCAATATAAATGCGTTAGACTGTTGTCAAATACATGAATAAATTGCCCGATCGGGAAAAGGCGTTTGTCTTCATCGATTAGATATCCATTTTCATCATTGCTTATACACAACTTTTTCAGTGCTCGTTCTTGTAAGCATTCACAAATCAAGGTGTTGTTAAGTGATAAGAATAGAAAGTGAGTCCCGTTTGCGAAAGAAATTGATTCCAATTGTGTCATCACGCTGAGAAGATATAAAAATGGTGCACTATCCATGGCACTTCGCAGAGTCAAGTGACGAACGAACGATAAACGAATGCGACACGAAAGCATAATACCACAGTCATGTTGATCAATAATCAACGACTGAACATTCTTATAGAGGCAACGTTCTGTGTCATTCGAGAAATTTATATTGCCACTGAAGACTTTCAGAGTTGTGACTAAATCAAAAATTAGTCAGATCCTTGTTGCCTAAATCGAAAAAAAATTTCACATAATAAACACTTCTATCAGACATAATCTACCTGTTAAACTAGTTATTTTATCGGCTAGTAAATGAAACTATTTATTATAGTGCCTACATTCGAGATAGGTTCCTGTAATTCATGATAATTACACAAAGGGGCAATCTGTGGAGATGAAGAGTTGTTATCTGATCCAAACTGTCCTCATACAATTTAGCGCAGTTCGAGTGTCACAAAGAGCTAGCACTATGAATATCTTTCTAGGAACGACGTTCGAATTCTAGAGCCTGAAACTAACAAAGCCGAATTACTGATTTTGTGGCAAAAGTTCAATGAAAATTCAATGTCGCAATAGAATAGTTCGCATAAATCTATAACTTAGGATTTCGAACAAACGAAAAAAAATCTTGAATGTATCATGAAATACAGAACTGCATGAGCTAAAGTTTTGTATAAATATTTTTGAAAAAAAGACTACGTGTAATAATTAAGAACTATAACAGAAAAAGGATAGCATGATTTTTGATTTTCAAGAACACTTATCAGAAAGATCATTACAAACTGGACGAATTTATATATTTTTGTTCGGCAATAACTTGTTATAATAGATGTTTTATAGCACTTTGTTAAATTTTAATTAATATTTGATTAGTAATTTAAAAACTGACAAAAAACAGAAAAGGTGTCACTCGTCAGATACAATTTTTCAAAAATTTGATCCGTAATTTCAGCAATGATTACCAGCTATTCTTTTTTGTGTTCTCTTCTAAATTATGTTCTAATAGTTATATTTCATAAATGACATATTGTGCAAGCTGTAGTTAGATATAGCAAGCTCTGTTTCAGAAAACACACTATTTTTGAAATATTGAACTTTCTGTTTGATACTCAATTTTGAAAATTATTAATCAATTTAGAATTTCTTTTCTGCCATTCGATAACAAAAATATGCACGAAAATACTATGCATCACAAACTTTTGCAGTGCATTTTAGTTTCGATCAGAAATAGATTTTGTATCTTTTAGAAATTCCCATACTGTAATTTAATAGTATTTATAGAATCAGCGAAAAGTTCAGAGCACTGAGTTATTTAGGATCGTTTGTGATTGTTCCGCGAAGCATAGGATTTTCACACTGTCATTTCAACGGAATCAGACGATAAAATTGCTAATTCAGAAAACATTACAATACAGAAATGGTCAGCATTTCAAGGTACTTACATGACAAAGGTATTGACGTTAAATCTCGTGGAATATTTGTAATCATTCTGAAGGGAGAATCCTTTCGAATTGGACATGGTAGTGTAAAGATATGATCGATGGTATCATCTACAACATCGATACCAACGTACCATTGTCGTTTTTGCCAAAATTCTCTTCGAAAGGGCTTCAAAAATTCCTCAATTGTTAGGGTAACGTCTGTGGTCGATCCAGTAACATAGAATCGAAAGAGCCTCAGATGTGGAACAAGCTTCAGAATGATTTGTTCCCATTG